GCACAGGTTGTTTGAGTACAATCAGTACTCTGCCTATTGTGAAGATTCAAAGTAAATATTCAGTAATATGAACTATCAGTTTTACCAGTTGAGAAACCCCACTATTGGGTTCTCTCCCACTGTCTACCACAAACCTACTTTCGTTGGTCAATATGTCATGTGTTATAAGATTGGCCAAACTCATTAATACGGCCCAAACTGTTTGCTTGCCGTGCAAGTTTGATACCAAACAAGCTCATCAAAGCTATTTTCTACTAACAGGATGCTTCTGTTATTACAACTTAACTGAGAGGTGATTGGTAATAATCATGCCCCACTGTTCCACAAGCCATCACAAAATTTATAAAGTCCCAATTAGGCACCCAAAATAACCGATTTGCTGGACTGACTATTATTCAGGACCAAAGCAATTCACGTCAGGTTTTGTCATTAATAGAAAATAACTCTATTCACTATACCATACAACTTTTGACAAATGGCACAGAAGAGAAAGAAATCTTAATCCATGACTATGTGACCTAAACTACACCCTTTAAAACCCCAAAAATATCTAGACACTCATTCACAGTCAAGACAGACAGAAGATAGATGATTTGACATATGTTATGAGTGAAAAATAAACGATAGGGAAAGAAACTCTGTAGATCAACAGTCTAGATTTCAAGGATGGGTGAAATTGTCTTTGATGATTCTTTGTGATTTCAACAATGATGGCATACAATGTTTTTAAAGCGATGGTTGTTTTTCACTTTGATAGCCTGTGTTTACAAACCTCAGAACAAAATGTCTAACATTAGTTGTAATTCCGTAGTTGGACGGCACTTGCTGAGTAACGTCAAAGAAGCAACATAGGTTCTAAATGATTCTCCAAACCCCGGTTGCCACCATTAAAATCCGGCCCAGTGTCTTTGAAAGGTCTTTCCTTGCTAGAATTCCTTCTTTTAAGCTTTCTTGTTTTTTTCTTTTTCCACTTATGGAGAATGAGAGTGAGGGAGAGAGGGATGTTTACAGTTCACAAGCTCCGGGTGTCTCTGGCTGTTCCTGCTCTTACGGTTTTGTAACAAACTGCAGCTCAACCAATGGGAAGGCTGTTATTAGGCAGAATTCCCTTGACACAAATATTCTTGATGCCACTCAAAATATCTCCATCACTGCTTCAAAAAGCAACATTGGCTTGCCCAGCTAAAAAAGTGAAGCATTTAATTCTTCCCAAGTTGCTAAATATTCCTGTTACTTCAGCTATATAATAGTCCCCATTTTGGTTTTTAGTCCCGAAGAAGAAAAATATACTCTCGCTTACACTGTTAAGCCGAACAAAGATTCTACTTACCACACAAATGTGTAATGTGTGTATGGATTTCAGTACAGTGTGGTGCCAGGTATATTAACCATACAATAGGAACTGGCACAGCAACAACCAATTTGAGGTTATCAGTCATTTTTGCCATATGGCTCAACTTACACTTGCTGAATGCTATATGTATTCACAGACAGGAAAAAAAGAACACATTAAGGAATTGTCTTTTTGACACTAAACAAAAGCAGAGGAGAAAAGTGTTCCCTGGTGCAACGCAATCAGTAAGCAGCATTGACTTGCCAACCACCAGCATCCACTTCTCATTCGATGTAACTTGTTACAGTCTTTGAAATTTGTTGTTTCTAGCATCTATTCTGATGAGTACAAGATGAAAAGCTTCAATATCATGTCACTTTTTTTCACCATACTCAAGTTTTCAAGTTTTCCACTTTTAATTTTTATTAGTCTGGCAAAAGATCAGTCTTATTTATTTTCTACAGAACTGAACTGAACCTCACAGCTACAACTCATTAAGTATCTCATCAGAGTGAAATCTGAAGACATGCTGAAGCTTTATCACCAGCCATCTTTGCTGCTTTCTTTATAGAGTCATAGTCACAGAGTCGTATAGCACAGAAACAGACCCTTTGGTCCAACTTGTCCACGCCAACTATGTTTCCAAAACTTAATTAGTCCCACTTGCCTGCATTTGGCCCATATCTCTCTAAATCTTTGCCATTCATGTACCTGACCAACGTCTTTTAAATGTTGTAACTGTACCCACCTCTACCAGTTCCTGTGGCAGTTCATTCCATATATGCACCACCTACTGTGTAAAAATATTGCTGCTCAGGTCCCTTTTAAATATTTCTCCTCTCACCGTAACCCTATGCCCTCTAGTTTTGAACTCTCCTAGTCTGGGGAAAAGACCTTTGCTATTCATCATATTGATGCCTCTCATGATTTTACAAAGCTCTGTAAGGTCACCCCTCAATCTCCCACACTCCAGAATGGATCCTACCCAATCAAACTGGAATCAAAACGTTGGCAGGAGACATAGTAACTGAACAATGGGCTGCATTTGAAGAGAAAATATTCCTGGGGATGGGGAAGAAAAGGCAAACAAATCTGGAGCTTCCTGGATTATGAAAGACATAGAGATTAAATTAAGAAAAAAAAGTATGCTTGAGGACAATCAGAAAACTGTAAAGTGCTTTACTTTTGTCAGGAAGAGTGGGAAGAGACAATATAAAATAAAGGTTAGTATTCTGAATGGGATATAGTTGCATAGAGATGTATGTGTGCACTAGTCACCAAAGCTGGCAGAATAGGATGAGAAGACAGTTAATAAAGCATACAAAATCCCAGTCAAATGGATTGGGAAATGGATTGTAAAAGCAAGAAAATTATATGGAACACTGGTTCGTCCTTAACTGGAATATTATATCCAGTCCCGTATACCACTGTTTAGGAAGCACATAAAGGCATTAGAGACAGTAAAGAAAAGATTCTTGAAACTGGTTCCACGGAAGAGGAACTACAGTTATGTAGTCGGGACTTTGTTTTTCTTGAAGAAAAGTTTGACAGGAGATTCCATAGAGGTATTCAAAAATCACAAGGGATCTGGGCAGACTATTCTCAGTTATGGAAGGTCTTAGAATAAGAAATCACAGATTGGAAAATAATTGGCGAAAGAAGTAATGGAGACATGAGGAGAAATGTTTTCATGAAGAGTAGTTAGGATCTGGAATGTATTGCCTGGGTGTGTGGTGGAGGCAACTTCAATCAAGGCATTTAAGAGAAGTGGGTCACTACCTGAAAAAGTACAAAAGAGAACAAGGGAGTGACACCAGGTGAACTTCTGTTTTCGAGACCCAGTGCATTTATGATGGACCAAATGGTCTCCTTCTATACTGTAACCATTGTGTGATTCTGGGTGGCAATGATCTGAAACTTGCTATTTAGGGAGGTGCTGGTGATGATCATTGAGTTCAAACGGAAATTACACACTTTTAAAATTTGTAGGGCTATGAGGATCGAATGAGGGAATGGAACAAAGTGGTTTGCTCCTAGAGGGCTGGTACAGGTTTGATGGGCCAAAAGGCTGCCTTCTGTCCCATGATTATGACCTGTTGAAGAATACAACGTCCAGCTGATGCATCCTGCAATGAGAAAGCTGTAGTTAGTCAATATGTTGGGGTGGTGGAGTTGAATCCCTTTCCACTGCTCTAGGAGAGCAGATTGCACTTTAACTTCTGACAGTGTAAAATGAGTCATAACAGGAAGCTCCCAGGCGCAGAACAAGCACCGCTACTTTTTGTAAACTGATTTTCTTTTAGCTCTATTGCTGTAATTTGGGCTTTGTCAACAAATTCTACCCAACATTTATCTCAATCAACATCACACAATACAAATTATTTGGCCAGTACCTTCATGCAGTTTGTGATAATTATGGGTGCTCGAATTGACTTTCTCTTTCCGCACAATACAGGTGACTAACACGGCTGCAATGAGCTTTGAGGCGTCTGGCGGTCGCGATGAGCATTATATTAACGTTATTTTTGTTTTTCAAATGACTGTGTCTGAACTAAATTTAACTTTACCATTATATTATTACCGTTCTAGAAATAACCATTAAAGACCTGCTCCCCGCGTCCACCTCGAAAATCTTGAGATGAAAGTTAAGATATGACCAGGTTTGGACAGACTTGTTTCATAGTAACTAAAAATGTTACCATATGTGAAATTCAGTCTTGTTTCATATAAGTCTTTCTTTGCCCCTGAAAGAGCGAAGTCCATTGAATCATTTGCGAACTGGTTACTGTATGTAAGAAAATTGTTCTACACGGATTTAAGAACGACCGTGATATTACTAAACTTATGACTGTTTTGGTTCAATGTCAATAATCTAACTTTAAAATATGAATTTATCCTTTGTTTAGCATTTGAAAATTTGAAACCTACTTGTTTCTCAGAATGGGTCCGATATATATTTTTAAAGTCTATTTTGGGACAACTGCATAATAAATTTAATCGTCCTCCTGTCGCAGCCCTTGTTGTTTGCATGATCAGGGGAACTTCTTTGTCAAATTAGCGTCTTTCCTTTTGACACTGAGTTTTGCTGGGAACTAAGAAGTAAGAAGAGCCACGGAACTGGGAAGTAGACGGGCGAAAACTGCAGAGAGAGAATAATCTGCTCAAGTCAACGGCTTCAGGCTGGCTAAGCACTGACAAAAAGTGACTCGCTGTGGAGACCGCCTGGATCACATTAACAGACGGTTCCCCTTGTGTTGGAGCCGGGAACAATTCACAGAAACTACAATAGCAAAAAAAAGAAAACTCATCCAGCAATACTTGCTCTCCGTTAGCACCCTGTTAAAATGGTGTGATTTTGGAGAAACCGAGTGGTGGAACCAGCACGTACTGTGTACCCCTTTTAATCAGAATCTTGTCTCCTTTTACCATCGTATTCACAGAGTTCGGAAAAGCAAAACACGTCACGAGAACCCAGACAGCAGTGAAAATGAACATCCTAAGTAAAAGCAGTTCCTTACTAAAACAAAGTCAAATGCGATTGCGCCCAAATGTACAAACATACTAACAAACAAAAATACATGCGTCTTTAATAAGTGAATACATCTCTAATAATAATTATAGATTATATAAACACATTATATAGATTCAGATATTCAAATATACTTACCCAGTATGAGGCATATTACATCCAAGCAAACAAAGGGGATTCTCTGCCTGTCAAACATCTTCTTTCGCTGCCTTTGTACTGGAAGGGACTGACGGTCGCTGACTTTCTACAGACACTTCTCTTTCTGTAAGCAGTCTTCTGAAATTTGCTGAATTTTGTTTGCGGCGCGATCTCGCTTTGGGGTGTGTGTATGTGTGTGTGTGGGAGGAGGAGGGAATGCGGGTTTAAAAGGACGCTTGGCAGCTGTCCGCACAAGTTTAATGTGCAATCTGCAGGGAAAGGAAGACTAATGGCCGACACAAGCTGTGTCGGCTGCTCGGGGAGGTAGGTAAAAGGGGGCAGGGAAATAAGGACACCCGAAGCTGAGATATACGATCAGCGACAGACAGTTCTGCAAAGTCAACTCCGACCCTATTGCCCGCCCTTAAATTAAACAAGCCCCCAGCCGCGGGGAGGGGGACGATCGGGCTCGAACTGGTAGCAGAGACGGAGAAGCTGCTGTCTGGTGGCGGCTGGCCCTGTCACAATGCGGCTAGTGTCTCTGTCACTGTCACAATGAGAGGCTGAGCGAGAGGGAACGGGGCCGAGCCGGCCCAGTCTGAGCCGGGACAGAGCGGGTTCTGCTGCCGCCGCCGCCGCGCGACAGAAACGCCTCCCTAAACCACGTCAGCGGCAACCCCAAGCCCCGGCAGGCCGTCTCGCTGAAGGACACATAGCTAAAAGAGGAGTGCCGAGCCTCTCACTGCCGCAATGGAAAAATCAATTCATCATTGCGTGAGCTCTTTAAAAAAAACGCCCCGACGTATATTTCTACCAGAAGCAACTTACATTGCTTGTGAGATAAATAGATGAGGACAAAAGGTATTTATTTTGCATTGGTTGGGCCTCGGCATTGTATTAGCCATATTTACAATCCTCCCAAACCTAAATCAAAATATCCGACTGCAGATTTATGTTGGCCACCTTGTCACCCAACATTGACAGTCGTTCAAATTATAGGTTAGTAACACGAAGGCTTAGATTGCGCCCTGCCGCTGTTAGCAATGAAAAGGCGTAGCTATGCGCTAACTACCTGGCAACACCTTGTCGTGGAAAAAAAACACCTCAATTGCATGTCAGTATTTGCAATAAAACACTGCACGCTATTGTACAGTGGAGTATGTGAGATCTGAATAGTCCAAAAGTTAAATCCACATCATTGAGACTAGGGTTCACAAGTCAAATGACACGAAACATTTGCTCAATGCCAGACAATGGGTATTTCCAACATGAAAAAAACCCAATAACTTCCCATTGACATGCATCAGAGTCCTCCCGCTCAATTAATTTCCTACAGTTTATCTCTGCTAGGTGACACCTCTAAGACATAAGATTTGGGTTTAAAGAGTTGAACATTAAAAACTAAACTGACTCAGACCCTGCCTGTTTGGTTTAGTGTAAAAGGGGAGGCAATGGCCCAGTGGTATTATTGCTGGACTGTTAATCGAGAGACCTAAATAATTCTGGGGATTTGGGTTCGAATCCTGTCAATAACAGAAGTCTGGAATTAAAAGCCTAATGGTGACTGTGAATCCATTGCCAATTGTCAGGAAAAATTCATCTGGCATCACTAATGCCCTTTAGGGAAGGAAACTGCCATCCTTACCTGGTCTCGCTTACATGTGACTCCAGATCCACAGCAATGTGGTTGACTCATAACTGCCCTCTGTGCAATTAGGGATGGGCAATAAATGCTGCCAAGCCAGTGACACCCTCATCCCATGATTCAATAAAGGAAGAAAAAATCTCGTTGAACAGTTTTGAAGAGAGGAGCTTTCCTTTGTGCCCTGGACAAAATTCATGCCTTGATCAATATTACAAAAACAAGTATTTGGAAATCACATAGCTGATTATAAGAGTTTGCTTTGCAGAAATTGTCAGCCACCTTTTCCCACATTACAGCAGTGACTACAATCAAAATTACTGCATTGATTGAATAAAACTGATTGTAGATTTAAGACTAAGGACAGAGAATCATAGAATCCCTACAGTGTGGAAACAGGCCCTTCTCATTCAGCTGGGGGTGAGTGTCTAGAATTCCTGTTAAGAATGGTCAAGTCAGGCACTTGTAACATTTAAGAATACACCATATTGCAATCACTTGTATTGCCCTATTTTCCAGGGCTATGGACCAAGAAGTGGAAAATGAGATTAGTCAGATCTTTGTAAGCATAAAGACGCAGAAGAGATAATACAAATTAGGGATAGTAGGAACTGCAGATGCTGGAGAATCCGAGACAACAAACAACTGCACCTCCCAGTCGCGAACCATTTCAACTCCCCCTCCCATTCCTCAGACGACATGTCCATCCTGGGCCTCCTGCAGTGCCACAACGATGCCACCCGAAGGTTGCAGGAACAGCAACTCATATTCCGCTTGGGAACCCTGCAGCCCAATGGTATCAATGTGGATTTCACAAGTTTCAAAATCTCCCCTCCCCCCACCGCATCCCAAAACCAGTCTAGCTCGTCCCTGCCTCCCTAACCTGTTCTTCCTCCCACCTATCCCCTCCTCCCACCTCAAGCCGCACCTCCATCTCCTACCGACCAACCTCATCCCGCCCCCTTGACCTGTCCGTCCTCCCTGGACTGACCTATCCCCTTCCTAACTCCCTACCTACACTCACCTTTCCTGGCTCCATCCCCGCCTCTTCGACCTGTTTGTTTCCTCTCCACCTATCCTCTCCTCTATCCCTCTTCTATTCGCCTCCCACTCTCTCCCTATTTATTTCAAAACCCCCTTCCCCTCCCCCTTTACTGATGAAGGGTCTCGGCCCGAAACGTCAGCCTCTCTGCTCCTATGATGCTGCTTGGCCTGCTGTGTTCATCCAGCCCTGCACCTTAATACAAATTAGGCCTGTTTTCTCTAGAATTTAGAGGATTAAAGGGTGATCTAAATGAAGTCTTCAAGATTATTAACAGGAAATGACAAGTGAGATAAAGATAAACTGTTTTCACTCGTTGGAAATTCTGGAACTGATGTCATAGTCTTAGAATTAGGACCAAACCATTCACGAGAAATGTGAGGAAACACTTCTACACACAGAAACTGGTAGATGTTCGGAATTCTCTTCCACAAAAAACAATTGATGCTAAATCAGTTATTGGCTTTAAAACTGAGACAGATACATTTTGTGGTTAAGCAAAGGTATTAAAGGATATGGGCCAAAGGCAGGTATTGTGGATTTAGGCCACAGATCAGCCATGAGCTCATTGAATGGTGGTACAGATTCAAGGGGCTGAATGGCCTACCCCTGTTCCAGCTCTGACATTTACTTCTGTACTGAAAATGTCAAAGAATTTGTGAATCATGAAAAGTGCTGAAGAAATGTTTTCATTTATGTGTTTGAGAAACTCAGAAGGATCAACCAAATAAACCTCAAGGCTACAAGAATAGGAAAGAGATAAAAGATAAGAACATGCTCTAAACACACAAGAAAGAAAAAACTTTTTGTACTGAATTCATATTGTACCTTATCATATATTCAATATTTCCTAAAAAGTCTTTTCCAACCTTTGAAATGTATTTTTTTTAAGATAGGTAAGTTCAGCTGCCAATTTCCACACAGCGATTCCTGCTACAAACAAATGCACTGAAAAAAATACCTTTTTAAAAGTCATTGTACCCAAAGGGTGGACCATAGATGATACTGAGCAATGATAATTCCACTCTTCTTATCCTTAACTCTAGCCAAATTGATTCTCCCCTTGAACCCTCTGGGACATTGCAATGCTTTCATCAACAGATACCAATATCCCTTGTCTTTCTTCCTTTTCTGAACACCTTGAATAGTTAACACCCAGTCCTGTTCTTCCCTGGGCCCCAGGTCTCTGTTATATACACCACACTAAATGCCACATTGAACTTGAAACACTAACATTTTCTCACTCCACAGATGCTGCCAGTTCATAGTTCCTCATGTCCTATGGAGATGTAAATCTGGTGGCTAAGGTGATAGTGGTGATTTGTGACCTGAGACTTCTTACTTTACAGCACCAGCAGTATTTTCACCACTTACATTGCAGCAACACAACAGAGTATCAACATCATCTTGGAAAGGCCAACAATATAAATATCATGAAGAAACTCAGCAGGCCTGGCAACATCTGTGGAAACAAAGTTAACACATTTTAAGTCCAGTGAAATGTTAACTGTGCCTTCTCTCCATAGATATGTCAGACCTGCTGAGTTTCTCCAGAAATTTCTGTTTTTGGTTGTTTTCAGATTTTGTTTCATTCATATAAATATCATGGCTACTGATCAGGCAAAAGGCTGAGCATTCTGTGACAAGTAGCTCACTTGACTCCAAAGCCTGTCCATTTTTTATAAAGGCACATGTCAGGAGTGTGATAGAATACTCTCCACTTGCTTGGATAAATACATCTCTAACATCATCAATAAGTTTAACATTATCCATTACAAACCAACATGCTTGATTAGCACTCCAAACACAACCTTAAATATTCACTCCCTCCATCATTAGTGCATAGTAACAGCAGTACCTACCCTCCACAAGGTACACTTGCAGCAATTCACCAAATTTTTGAGAACACCTTTCAAACCTGCCATGACTACTGCCTAGAAGATTAAGTGCAGCAGATACGTGGGAACACCATCACCAGCAAGCTCCCCATCAAGTGAACCACCAACCTGACTTGAAAATGTAACACTGTTCCTTCACTGTCACTCGGGCAAGAATCTGGAACTCCCTTCCCAAAGACACAAAATGGGGGATGTTGCCTTAGTAATGACACTCAGGCAATAATGCAGAGGTCCAGGATAATTTGCTGGGGACACGGGTTCAAGTCCCATAATGGCAGCTGGTAGAATTGGAATTCATTGGATAAGACCAGGAATTAAAATCTAGTCTCAGTAATGGTAACCATGGAACTATTATCAATTACTGTCAAATACCCATCTCGTTCCTTTAGGGAAGGAAATATGCTGCCTTGATCTGATCTGGTCTATATGTGACACCAGATCCACAACAGTATGGTTGACTCTCAACTGCCCTGTGAAATGCAAACCATTCAATTCCAAGGCAGTTAGGCATGAGCAACAAATGCTGGTGTGCTGGCAGCACATATATCGATGGAAAAAAAACATAAGAATGTGTAACAGGTCATTTGGCCCCTCAAGTATGCTCCACCATTAAAGTAACATTATGGCTCATCTGACATTGTCATAACTCCACATTCCTGTTTGCCCTTCAAACCCCAAACTCCCTCGTCAATCGAAAGATTGTCACATGGACTTGCTGTTTCCAGAAAACAGCCCAACACCATCATCAAGGGTAATTAGATATGGATAATAAATACTGATCATGCAAGTTACGCTACCATTGCCATGTACCAGTAAAAACAAAACTTACTAGAACCTTCACCAGGGTAACTAGAGTTGATCAAAAATTACTACTGTAGTCAGTGATGCCCACATCCAGAAAATGATAAAATGAAAAGGAAGTTAAAAGACATCTTCATTAATACACTAACAGTTGGGAAGCTGGTTTCTAATATCCATTCAAATTTTGAGAAGTATTAATCTGACTGTTTCATTGTCAATATTAGCTTCAAACCTTTAGTTGAGTCTGTTTTATAGTTTTACCAGCGCATATAGTTCATAAGTACAATTAAATCCATAAAATGTTAACAGTAAGTGTGAAG